GCTTTCCCATTCCCTCCAGCAAATAGGGAACACGGACATGGGATCTAGACTTGAGCAATAGATATGTCAACTTAGACTTTGGGTCAGAAGCAAGGGCAGTAAAAGGCACATGAGAGAGAAGATGATTCAGAGGATGGCCATGACATGGTTAATAACACAGAGATTGGAAAGGCAGGGTGACAGCATCCTGCAGGGTGGTAAGGGGTTCATGCCTGGGGTGATGGTAAGCCGCTGTGGACTGGAGCCCTCCATGAAACGTTAGTGGGCCGTCATCACATATTAAGCATGATTTTGCAATAATTCTGCCTGTTCCTGTTTCCTGTTCCTCCTCCAAATTTGATTCATTGGTTTTTCTAGGGCTTTGTTACATGAGTGTGAGTGTGTGTGTGTGTGTGTGTGTATGGGGGAAACGTGTTTCCATTGACATGTAAATTTTTGTTTAGCTTACTTTTTTTTTTAAGCTATTGTGGACATCAATGCAAGTCAATCCAAATCTTTAATTTTCTGGTTTCTTTAGGTATATAACAATGTGTATAATTTAAATCAACCAGTTTATATCATATATGCTATACTTCTGTTCTCATCTTTAAATTTTTTGTCCTTTTTTCAATACTACCTCTCAACTGTAGATTTAATAATCTCATTTTTATCTTTCTTCTCCTTTATCTATACTCCTACAATGTACAAATTGTCATTGTTTTCTTTATAAAGATGGCACAAGGCTAACATCACTTCTGTGCATTATTGAAAATATCCTGCAAAAGCCACTCAGAGTTAACTGGTGCAGTTATAACTGCTTAATATTTCATGATGTAGCAGCACGATGATTTATTCAACCCTTTCTCTGTAAGGATATTTAAACCCTCTCTGTAACAATATTCACTTGCTTTTCAGTTGTTTTGTCACTAGAAACCATGTATGAACACAGACTTCATTCACTTATTTATTTATTTATGTATTTATTTATTTATATTATTTCAATCTCTACACCCAACATGCGGCTTGAACTCATGACCCCAGATCAAGTGTCACAGACTCATCCGACTGAGCCAGCAAGGCTCCCCAAAGCACATGTTTGAATAAAGACACTTATGACTGGTGCTTTTATAATCATGAATAGATTCCTGAAATGAATTACTGGAATTAAGTGTATATGTATTCTTAACTTCAACTACTGTCCTATTGCTTTCCTAAAGAAGGCTCTGTAACTGCATAGATTTGTACGAACACTATGTGCGAGGAAGCTTTCTTCTTCATCCAAGTCAGCAATAAATGTTGATATTAGTAACTGGAATTAGTTACCTTAATTAGTAAATGTCCTGACAAACCAATAAGAAAAGACTATGTCCTCAAGACAAAGAAATCAATACTGTTCATGAAAAGCTTATTTACAAATTAAGTACAACTAATTTAATATATCAAGTGTTTATACTTGCTTATAAGACCATAAAAGTTATGAGAGCAATGCAACCTATTATGTATACAGCTGGGAAATAGTTATGTATCCTTAGGTATTTCTTATGCAGAGTCACTCTAAAGCTCTAAGCAACAAAAAGTTTTAGGAATTTAGGTATTTTAAACTCAGCTTAAAAAAGTAGTGGAAGAGAGAGTTGCCTTGAGATGGAGAGTGGGGACAGGTGGTGATTATGTATGGATTCTGGACAAGTTTAAGTTGAGAGCCCACAGTTGTGTCTTTATCTGCATCACTGTTGAGGGAACAGGGTAACTAGGTCTCTCTTCCTTCCTCTTAGGTATAAATACAAGTTTCAGAAAGACATGAAATTTTCTCAGGAGGGTTCAAAAAGCAAACACAGTGGGACATCTATGCATGATTATTAAAAACCTTTCATTAGTCTCTTGCTCTTGTTTTTCTGCTCATCAAGGAACCTGAAGACTCAAGAGGAAACCTTCCCCTGGGTCGCCAAATCAAGTTAAGCTCCTATCCATCTAGCCATCTTCCTTTCATTCCCCGAACTTCAACTATTTGAGTCCTTGGATAGAAATGAGCCACTCTCACCAAAGAATCATAGATATATCTGTTCTTTGAGTGATAACTTGCAAACTACTGCCTTGACAATGATAGTAAAAAATTCGAAGAAAAAAAACCAGCTGAGTTTTATATTAAAATGAATCACATACTGTAAGGTGAGTTCTTAAAATGGTAGATTTCTCTTAGTCTTCCTGCTTTCCTTTTTGAACTTCCCCTGGGAGGTAAGATGCTTGGGCATTGTTAGACATGTCTCTACATTGTGTTACTAAGTCTTTCTGTCTCCATCTGTCTTTTTCTCCTCGCTACACACACACACACACACACACACACACACACACACACACAGAGTGACACCATAATTGGTAGTCCTGTGTTAAATCTTAGTCTACTTTGCAATTTACCTGATGAAAAGGCTCATATTTCAATTAATCTGAATACGAAGATATCCTGGATATGGGATCCCAATGGTAAAATAGAAATGTCAGATACCTATTTGTATCATTATTTGTATCATTATTTCAATTCTGATATCCATACAGCTATGATTATGATAATTCTGATTCTCTTATTTATTCTCTTATTTGAAAAATATGATTTCAAAATCTTTTTGTGTGTAGTTGATACTTTGTTGCTCTATTTTCAGGTATATAATATACTGACTCAGCTTCTCTGTACTTTATGCTCTGCTTACCACAAGGGCAGCTACAATCTGTCACCATACAACACTGTGACATTACCATTGACTCTATTTCCTATGCTGTGCCTTTACTCCCATGGCTTATTCATTCCATACCTGGAAATCTGAACCTCCCACTCTCCTTCACCCATAAAAATTACAGTTTAGATGTAGCTTAAGCCACATTGTCTAGACATGGGAAACATTTTGTCTAAGCTTTGCTGGGATCAGAGATCCTGGCTTCTCTCATATTGTGGAGCCAGTTTCATAGTCATCCCTCAAAGAATAATTAAGAGGGCACCTGGGTGGCTCAGTGGGTTAAATCTCTGCCTTCGGCTTGGGTCATGGTCTTGGAGTCCTGGGATCAAGTCCCGCATCAGGCTCTCTGCTCAGCAGGGAGCCTCCTTCCCCCTCTCTCTCTGCCTACTTGTGATCTCTCTCTCTCTGTCAAATAAATAAATAAATAAATAAATAAAATCTTAAAAAAAGGAATAATTAACAACAATTCTGAACTCAAAGCTAATTTGGATTAAAAATCAATTCAGCCTGCCTTTTCTTGAAATTTCTTTACATCAAGCTGGCAACATCCTTTCCTCTGGTGTTGGTTCTGTTCTTCCTGTCTCAGGTAGTAGGTCTTAAATAAGAGGCATATCCTTGATGGAGATGTCTTCTCCTATAAGGACATTGCCTGAATTTATGAGTATGAGAGTGGAAGATGGAGAGAGGGATATTATCTCTAACAAAGCCATATTCATCTAAATATCTAGATATTTATGACAGAAGGTTATATGTTAGAAAACTGCCAGTGGATTATGTTTTGGGAGAACAGGTATAAATTATATGTTCCTAGAACCTTATAAAGGATAGCCTATTGTAAACGGAGTATGGAGCCAACAGAGTACAAGGCTTGGTATTTTCTGGGTCAGACAGAAGATTGCAGGAATCATGTCACAGCATTGAGTTTCTCAAACTCCCCTGAGGGAACTCCCTTTATAAGCTGGTGATGGCTGTAGTGAGACATCAGTCAAATACCAGTGATGAACCCTTCCTCAAAGATCTAGTTTTGAGGGGTTCCTGGGTGGTTCACTGGGTTAAAGCCTCTGCCTTTGGCTCAGGTCATGATCCCAGGGTCTTGGGATTGAGCCCTGCATTGGGCTCTCTGCTCAGTGGGGAGCCTGCTTCCCCCACCTCCTGCCGCGCTCTCTGACTCCTTGGCATCTCTGTTAGTCAAATAAATAAATAAAATCTTTAAAAAAAGGTCTAGTTTTGAAATTGAGATGTTTCTATGACACAAAGACAATTTATTCTCCCTCTCATTCCCCCACTCTGGTAGATTGGTACATAGATAGATATTGGTAGATACAGATAGGAAGCCGGTTCTGTATCACAAGGCAATTTTGTATGATTCATTATCATTTGTTGAGCAGCTATCAAGTGCCAGACACTTTATTAAGGACTTCACATCTACTGTCTTATTTAATACTTATAATGTCTCATCTGATATTACTACTGCTGAGTTACCTATGAGGACCCCAGAGAATTATTCAGCTGTTCTGTAGACTTTTGAAGTGTGCAGCCCTATCAGCAATTAAATTCTTGGTTCTTAAGTTTCCACATAAACTCTGGAGAGAAAATAGAGTTCGAAGAGGTCCCCCTGATTGCTGCCCCCTGGTGAACACTCCTTGATAAATCACCTCCCCTTGGGTGAGAACGAGACCTGAGACTGCACCAGGATATCACTTGTGATGCATTTTGTTACATCACACTTTGTCACAGAAAACTGGAGACAGATTCTTCTACTGGCCTTGAAGCAGTAAACTGCCATGGTATCAGACGGCCGGGGGGTTAGGACCTGCGGGTGGGCTCTACAGCTGAGGGCGAAGATTCCTACTAACAGCTAGAAAGCCAGACACCTCAGTCCCAAGCCTCAGATGAAATTCCAGACTCAGATGACATCCTGATTTCAGCCTTGAGCAGAACACCCAGCTCACCTGACTCAAACACTGTAAGAACGGAAATTTGCATTGTTTTGTGTTGCTAAATTTGTCATCATTTATGACACATAACCAGAAGTTATACAATGGATTTCTATGGCTTTCTACTGCATAGATCTGTGTGTGCCTCACTGGTGTGTGCATGTGTTTGTGGGTGTGCAAGAGACAGAGAGAGAAAAAGAGAGAGAAAGAGAGGATGATGATGAAGCAAGTTGAGTTTAACTCTTGCATTATCTGCCAGGAATGATGAAGTTGACACGCGAAAATGGGTTTTCAGTTTTCAATTAAATGCTAGGTGCTCTCTCTATTCCCATAGGGAGAGGTACCAAAGGCGTGGAAAATGACAAACATGAGCCTCGTCCCAACGTTCTTCCTCATGGGTCTTCCCCATGCTCCAGCAATGGACATTCCCTCTTGGGAATCTTCTTGGTGATTTATGTACTCACTGTGGTGGGGAATCTCCTCATCCTGCTGGTGATCAAGGTGAATTCCCACCTCCACACCCCCATGTACTTCTTCCTGACCAACCTGTCCTTCATTGACATGTGGTTCTCCACCGTCACTGTGCCCAAAATGCTGATGACCTTGGCATCGCCAGGAGGCAGGGCCATCTCTTTTCCCAGCTGCATGGCCCAGCTCTACTCCTTCCACTTCCTGGGGAGCACCGAGTGTTTCCTCTACACAGTCATGTCCTATGACCGCTACCTGGCCATCAGTCACCCGCTCAGGTATGCCAGCATGATGAGTGGGAGGACTTGTGCCCTCCTGGCCACCAGCACGTGGCTCAGTGGCTCTCTGCACTCTGCTGTCCAGACCACACTGACATTCCGTCTTCCCTACTGTGGGCCCAGTCAGATCCAGCATTACTTCTGTGATGCCCCTCCCATCCTCAAGCTGGCCTGTGCAGACACCTCTGTCAATGAGATGGTGATCTTTGTCAATATCAGGGTCGTGGCCTCAGGCTGCTTTCTCCTGATAGTGCTGTCCTATGTGTCCATCGTCTGGTCCATCCTGAAGATCCACACCTCAGAGGGGAGACACAGAGCCTTTCAGACCTGCGCCTCCCACTGCATTGTGGTCCTTTGTTTCTTTGTTCCCTGTGTTTTCATTTACCTGAGGCCAGGCTCCCGGAATGCTTTGGATGGGGCTGTGGCAGTTTTCTACACGGTACTGACACCCCTTCTAAACCCTGTGGTATACACTCTGAGAAACAAGGAAGTGAAGAAAGCTCTATGGAAGCTTATAAACATAGTAACATTTTCCCGGAGCAAATAAACACTGGAAAGTAGATATCATCATTTTTCTAAAAAAAAATACTAATATAATTCAGTCACCAAGGTGCAACATATACATGTGTAGTTCTCAGTGTTAAATGTTCTCCAAAACCATCCACTCAGAAATAGTTGTTTCACAGGTTTGTCTGAGGAATTTTTTAAAAGTCAGAATTAAATTTTATTGGTGATGAACTTGCCTAAGTTTTGGTCTATCAAATTTTTCCCTGTGAATTTTTTCTCTATCTTTCATTCCATTTTGTTGAGCTACAGTTGACATACAACATAGTTTTGCCTTCTTAAAAATTATGTATTCTGCTTGGAACTCAGACACCAGGGTTGTTTTAGTCATATACCTAACTTTGTAATATGCTTTTTAAAAAAATTTTTGCTTGAGGTTTATGTAAACAACTTGGGAATTATACTCCTGAGCATAGTGTCCAAGGACAGAAGCAAATATCAGAGTCACTGATTCATGGTTGCAGCTGTGTGACTGCCTTCTCCATCACATCTGTGTTTGTGTGTGGATCTCAGTGTGACCACCCCTCCACCTGGCACATCGTGACCATGTTCATTGCTCCCACACTGAAAGAGCTCTAAGCTCTGAGCAGCTCCTTAACTCTCCAGGTGGGTCTGTCGGGACAGGCTGTGGTGCTGACGTGCTCCTCTCAGGAACTGCCAACAACTGCCACCTTACCAGGGTCCTGCAGTTTCCCAGCCTTGGTGAGGCAAATCAAGAGGAAAGTAAGGACAGAAGCCATTGGTCTCCACCACATATTCTGACCTTGATTTCCTGTGCTATCTGACCAGATGTCCACAGTTAGCACCAAACCATTCAACACTGGATTCTTTTACCGCAGCTGGTGCCAGAGGGTCGTCTGCCCAGGGAGCTCCTGCTCCTACCCTCTTAGAGTCTTGGAAATCCTGCTGTACCAAACTACAACCTGGTCTAGGATGGAACACCCACACTGTAGGCTGGGGCCAATGATGTTTCCTATGTGGAAGGTAGAAAAATGAAAATATCTTTAAGTAACCTGTTCATGGGATTTCAACATTTCTTTTACAAATTAGAAAGAAAGAAATGCTATACTTGCACCCAAACAAAAGCAAATATTGTCTCAAACTAGTTTTGAAATAATTCTCTGACTTGTACCTCAATTTACCATCTCAAAAATGACACTCTCTCAAAATACTGTTATGAGGATTAAATGAATGTATAGAAATGGTTTGAGTGATAGTGATTCATAATAAACATTTTTTGAGATTTTATTCATTAATTCATTCATTCAATTGAGAGAAAGAAAGTCAGGATGGGAGAACATTTTCAAAATGGGTATAAATAAGGGTCTTATCCTTCTTCAACGTTGTCATTATCAAAGTATTTTGAGGGACCTTGTTTCTGTGTTTGGATGCCCATATTATCACAATGACCAGGGGGCATACATATTAGATCAAAGGAGATGGTGAAACCCTACAGACTCGTTATCACTCTATTCCTCTAGTTCACCCACTCAGCAGGGGCCATGGAAAGCCATATTAGAATTTTGAAAATTGTGGAATTTGTGCGGCAAGTGTGAGGGAGTCAGATGCCCTACTGATAGTGCTTCAGATCATTAGATAGAAACAGAAGGCACAGGGCTCTCATGGAGTGAGTTGTTAGTGGGTGAGACATGGGAGGAATTCTATTTAGTTTTCCTCCAAAGGCTGTCTGCTGGCAGGATATTCATATGTGAGACAATGTGATATGAGAGTATTTGAAATCAGTAACAAAGTTTGACAACCATTCATAGGTGGGCCACATTCTAAAACCAACACAGAAGAGAAGGTCACAATGGGCAGCCTGCTGTATGTTAATTACACATCACTGTCCCAGGCCAGTTTGCCCTGTGACCTCAGCTCTCTGATGGGTCCACGAAAAGCCTTGATTTTCAGTATATCCCAATTTGCCTTGTTTTAATCAGGCAAGGGACAGCTTTCAACTCTTTACATGTTGGAGATAAAACCAGAAGTTACAAATCATGACTTCTTAAGTTTAAGAACAGAACATTATTTTTAATGATGCAATAGTTATTCAGATTTGCTTATAGGTCTGATTTTTTCAACTTTCTATTCCTTCCTATATCTCAAATGCTCATTTCTGGGTGAGTTTTATTATTGTGTTGTATATTTTGAAGTTACTTGATATGGTTGTCGTAGTGGTAGAAACTTTCCATTTTTTAATGTCTCTAAATGTTATTATTTCACATTCATATTTGACAGTTACTCAGCATTCAATCATACAGAAGTAATGCTGGATCTGGCTGGGCCCACAGTAGGGCAGACGGAATGTCAGTGTGGTCTGGACAGCAGAGTGCAGAGAGCCACTGAGCCACGTGCTGATGGCCAGGAGGGCACACGTTCTCACACCCATCATGGTGGCATACCTGAGCGGGTGACTGATGGCCAGGTAGCAGTCATAGGACATGACTGTGTAGAGGAAACACTCGGTGCTCCCCAGGAAGTGGAAGGAGTAGAGCTGGGCCACACAGCTGGGAAAGGAGATGGCCCTGCCTCCTGGCGACGCCAAGGTCATCAGCATTTTGGGTACAGTGATGGTGGAGAACCACATGTTAATGAAGGACAGGTTGGTCAGGAAGTAGTACATGGGGGTGTGGAGGTGGGCATCCACCTTGATCACCAGCAGAATGAGGAGGTTCCCCACCACAGTGAGTACATAAATCACCAAGAAGATTCCCAAGAGGGAGATGTCCAGTGCTGATGCATCGGGACGACCCATGAGGAAGAATGTTGTCACTATGCTCATGTTGGTCATTTCTTTTCATATATGGAGCTCTGTCCTTACTGGAAAGAAAGCAAACACAACATTTACTGAGATCATATATCATGGTAACTGCATTTTCACTGATAGAAAACACAAGATGTAATTGTCATTTATGTGTTACATGGCATTTTCACTTTCATGGGGCTTTGAGGAGGATTGGTCACTTCCTTATCACAGTACCCCAATCAGCCAAGTAGAAAAGAGGGGTAAATTGCATATTTTATTTTCTGTAGAATTAGAAAAGTTATACCAGAAGCAACAACTTTCCAGAGTTGGCATGCTCTTCCATGGGTAAGTCTTTACCCATACTTCTCTCTCTCTCTCCCTTTTCCTCTCTAACCATCCTCCCCACACAAAGTACACACAAGCACATGCACACATGTGTACAAACCACAGCCCTATATACAGATGCAGTCTGTCATCATCAGAGGATTTCCACTATAAATACAGATTTCTAAAGAAAGCTTCATCCATAATGGCTGAGAAAACTGCCCTCATGAAGCTCCCTGAGAAGCAGCAGCTGTGTCAGGGTGGGACCTCAGCAAGGGCTTAGCCTCACGGATTCATCTGTTTGATGCAAAGCAATGATCATAGCCCCCTAACCAGTTGTGAAATCTGACCTCAGCCTCAAGAATAATGGTCAGAGTACTGTCCTTTTCCCCACCTCCTCTCATCCTATGTTCATTTCTATTTATAAATTTTATTATTCCTCATCCTCCTTCTGAAGTATCATCAGATCATGTCAGAATGTATTTTGAGGGGCCATGAAGCATTACATCTGCTTAATTAGTAAAGAAGTCCAAACCTCATGCTTGGGTTTTGAGTTCCAAGACAGAATATTTATATTTGCTATAAAACAGACACCAATGTTCTTTTAAAAATAAAGGATGGGGTGCCTGGGTGGCTCAGTGGGTTAAGCCTCTGCCTTCGGCTCAGGTCATGATCTCAGGGTCCTGGGATCGAGCCCCGCATCGGGCTCTCTGCTCAGTGAAGAGCCTGCTTCCCCCTCTCTCTCCGCCTGCCTCTCTGCCTCCTTGTGATCTCTGTCTGTCAAATAAATAAAATCTTAAAAAAAAATAAAGGAAAAATATGTAGTCTGAAATAATGTTTATTTTTTCTAGGATTTCTATTATTCCAGGGCTCAGCAGTTTTCTTCCTTCCTCCCTCCTCTCTCCTTTCTCTTTCTCTCTTTCTTTTGAGTGATCTGAAGGTCCTCGAAAATATACATTGAATGAGAAAACACATAAAGAGGGATGAAGAAATGAAGAGGAATCTGGTTCAACACTTGGAACTCTCTGATAGAAAAAGAGCATTTCTTTACCAATTTCTAAGTTTCTTCTGCCATATAGAGTAATGGCAGCGACATGTCTCCATTCTGGTGTATCTGATAAAAACAGGCTTTTTCTGTTGTTTCAGCTCAGAGTTGTAAATGTTACGTTTTATCAAGAAAGCACTCTATTTACTGTGATTTTATAGAAATTTGAGTGTTTCATAAAACCATGTAAAGCTCACCCTGCAGCCATGACTAAGCAGTATAAGCCAAAGCCGAAGAAGAATAAAAGCAAAATGATGAATTCTCATCAATGAAAAGTGCTAAGGTTTTGCCAATTTTTGCTACTTACCAATTTAACAACTAAGTTTGGGTCATAAGGTAAAATTCTAAATTTAAAGAAACTCTCAGTTTTTGACAAGTAAGATGCTTGTTCTTCTTGAATAGACAAAACCACAGGAAGAACAAGCGATAGAAACAAACATTTTATTTTATTTTTTTAAAAAAGATTTTATTTATTTATTTATTTATTTAATTTATTTTTTTAATTACTTTTCAGTGTACTAGAATTCATTGTTTATGCACCACACCCAGTGATCCATGCAATACGTGCCTTCCACAATACCCACCATCAGGCTGGCCCAACTTCCCACCCCCCGCCCCTTCAAAACCCTCAGATTGTTTTTCAGAGTCCATAGTCTCTCATGGGGGGTCATCTCCCCCTCCAATTTCCCTCAACTCCCTTCTCTCCAACTCCCCATGTCCTCCGCGTTATTTCTTATGCTCCACAAATAAGTGAAACCATATGGTAATTGACTCTCTCTGCTTGACTTATTTCACTCAGCATAATCTCTTCCAGTCCTGTCCATGTTGATACAAAAGTTGGGTATTCATCCTTTCTGATGGAGGCATA